GAATCTTTGCACAGGACTGGGAGGGAGACCCAGGGTTGCCTCCCTGAAGGTTTGCACTTAATAGAGAGGCCTCTCAGGCCCTGGAGGAAGCAGTCTGAGTGGTAGATTTGCATCCCAAGGGCAGAGAAAGGCCTTGTACTTGCAGGCTGTCTAAAGTGACTGCTCTGGGAGGGGCTGAGGGGCCTCTGCCTGTCACCAGGTTTTGGCTGCAGCAGAGAGTAAGTTCTCTTGGCAGGTGGAGCTTTCTCAGGCAGGCGTTGTAAGGGGGCTGGGGCCATTGTGGGTTCATGAGCAAACACACACACACACACACACACACACACACACACACACACACAAAACACACACCCCCGTACTAATGCTACACAACCTTGCAGTTTCTGTTAAATTTCATTTTTTATCCTCTTTGCGATCCTTGAATTTGTAAATGTAAGTCCATTTGATTCATTGATTTTCCCAATTCATAAAAGACCCATGGTTTTTAAGGCCCAACAAAATTAGAAGACCTTCAGACTGTGTTGGTGTGGTTGGTTGGTAGGTTCACTGTTCATTCCCGATGATTTATAAATCCTTAACCATTTTTTTTTTAATAGTTGATGGGCTATCCACTTTCTGAAGGCCAACTGGACCAGAAGACGGCCACGTCACTCTTGTGGAAGTCCTACCCCACTGTCGTAAGAGTCTAGGAATCATGGGAATCGGCTGAGACCAAAGAGGGGCAGGGACTTGTCCTGAATCACAGATCAATTAAATTACAGAATGGAGACTGGGGCTTGAGGGTTCTGCCCTCATTTTTCTACCTTCCTCATTTCACCACCCGGAGGTTGGGGGAGTTGCCCAGGGCTGGGGCGGTTCTCCATAGTGCGAGCCTCGCTCACTGGCCAGAGAAGCTGCACTGCTCACCAGGGCTCATGGTCACCGTCTTGATCTATTTCAGGGCATCCCTGAGGAGCTGACTTCGGTGGCCATTGAGGAGTATTTAGGAGGAACAGAGGACCCTGTCAAAAAGAAAGACCTGTTCCTGGACTTGCTTGGAGATGTCATGTTTGGTGTCCCATCTGTGATTGTGGCCCGACGCCACAGAGGTGAGTCCCAGAGGTTGGACTGCAAAGGGACATCGGCCCCACCAGCTCCGGTATCTGACCTGCCCACCTCCCAGCATAGGCAGATGTGGACACTG